CTGCACTGCATTATATATTGTCAATATGTAAAATATATTTCAAAATGACCAATAATTTGCTTGGAAACACAGAAAAAAAGCATTTAGTTGAGTCTCAAGCAAGATGTTACCTCCAGTGAAAACAGAGAGAGACTAACTCCTGTTATGCTGTGTTAAGAGGCTGGATGCTGCGCATTAAACTCGTCACTTTACCTTCAATTATGTTCAATAATTGTTAAAATGACTAAAAAATTGAATATTAAACTTTTAAAATTATTGAATGGTATAAACTTCTTGATGTTTACTAAAATAGTAAGGAATTTAAGCCCTAGAACCGATTAATGTATTGGCGGACTGATACTAAAGCTGGTTGCCCGGTCAGTGCAAGCGAAAACATGTTGAGGTCAGTTCGTAAGAACTTCGTTAACCGAATTTTTTTTCGTTAACCGAATTGAAGATCCTTATGGAAGGCAGTTCGTTAATCGAAATTATGTTAACCGAGGTGTTCGTTAAACGAGGGGTCACTGTACTTGGTGTTCTAAAAGTCGAGCAAGGTTCACACGTTATACCGCTAGAAATATACTGTACAATAGGGAAGGAGATACTTAACTTATGACTGCCAGCCCAATACTGGCATCACCCGGCTCTTGAGAGGTAAAACTAAGCGAGCAGAGGTGGGCGGAAATGACGTCTCAAACAAAAGACATTCACGTTGCGAATCCTTAACAAACCATTGAACTCTCACTCGTAACAACATTTTATATATATATATAAAAAAAAACCCTTAATCTAAAGGACATAATAAACAAATAAATACTTCACTAGACCTTCAGCACCAACTGTCAAACATATCACCTTGCCTCCCTTCCTTCTCCCCCCATCTTCCCAGCCAGGGTTGGGTGGTTTTAGGATTAAAATTTTTATCTTATATATTATCACAAACTAAAGTTAGGAGAATATAATTTGCATTTCTAGAATCCTTGCAAGACAGCGAATAATTTGAATATAAACGTCATATATTTTGCACAAGAGATAAAAATTTGAGCCCTTTGTAATAAAATTAATTAAAGCTAAAATTTGTATGTCTAATGCGAACTATAACATGTATATATTCAAACTAATCACTCTTATAAGAATTCCAGCAATGTTAATTATATTCTCCCAGGTCAGTTCAGTGACATTTTATAAGAGAAAAACTTAGTCACTCTGAAGGACAGATAAATAAATTAGCACTAGACCTTGGCATCAACTGTTAAACTTATCACCTCCCTTCCCCCCCATCTCCCCAACCAGTAAACAGACCATTTTGCATTTCGCATCTGGGTAGACTCTCAGTCTTTTTAGTATTTTTTGTTTCTCTCAAGTACCAAACTAAATTATTCCATTGAAACAACATTTCGATTTAGTGCAAATTCGGTTTAAAGCGACCTCTCTTGGAACGTACCTCGCGTTATATCGACGTTTTATTGTACAAAGAAAAACCCTAGATTTTTTTCATAGAAATTAGTCAAAATTATACCAAAAGCATGCCAAATTACAATATATGTCATATAAGTGTAATGCAGAATTACATACCCTTATACAGTGGTCCCTCGGTTAACGAACACAATTCGTTCCACAGAGTCGTTCGTTAACCGAAAATTTCGTTAACCGAACCCATTGTTTCAATGGGATATTGGGTAATTGGTTCCAGCTTACAGAAAAGTACATACAAAGTAAAAAAAAAAAAAAATGCAGTAAAGTACACTTACTTTGAGGTGTGTATGTAGAAGGTTCCTCGTTGATGATGATGATGGGAATTAGAAGTGGGGATAAGGAGCAGGGAGAAGAGAAGGAAGTGGGGATGGAGGAGATATCACCTTTCAGGGGACCCATGCTTGATGCAGTAATTTCACCAATAAAATTTTAAGTTCACTAGGTGTAATTCAAGATTATTTTGTCTAAATCAGCACTGCACTGCGCTATATATTATCATATGTTAACTAAATTTCAGAATGACCAATAATTTTAATGTAAAAATGCAAAAATATTCAAGACACCAACAAAATCGATGTTCACTCCACTGTCAACAAAGCCACACTGACGCCTGGTGGGTTAGTCAAGCGGCTGATGGGCGCACAAAAAACTAGTTCCCTGTACTGCATATATTATCAATATGCTAACTAAATTTTAAAATGATTAATAATTTTATTATAAAAAAATGCACAAATATTAAAGAGCACAACTTTCTTGATATTTACTCCACTGGAAACGAATGTAAACATAGAACAGATTGCTGAATTGGCAGACTAGCCCATCAGCTGATCAGCTGATGCTCACAACAAAAAGTGTTTGTCATCAGGATTTCGTTAATCGAAGTTTTGTTCGTTAACCGAATTGAAGATCCTTATGGGAGGTAATTTGTTAACCGAAATTTCGTTAATCGAACCGTTTGTTAACCGAGGGATCACTGTACTGTATATAGGAAAATGTCGATAATTTTAGTAGCTGCAATATAAATAATTGTTATATAAAGTCTACAGTATATATCCCAACGCTACTGTACTATGTATTATTTTCCTCGGTTCGACTTACGACTCGATCGACTTATGACCTGGTCATCGGAACGGAACCCCGTTGTAAGTGGAGGGAAGAATGTAAAATAAAAATACTGCATTGCCATTTGGCAATCATTTCACTCAGGATATGGGAGACAGGAGCGTGCTTCCCCCTCTCACAGTATTATTGTGGGCCATCTCATGCGGACATAATAAATTTTATTTGCTTTGTTTTGACCTTATGATAATCATTTACTTCATTTTATTTTCACATTCTGTATGAATGATTGTGAGTGCATGTAAAGTGTAATAAATAAATAAATAAATAAATAAAGAGATAAATAAAATTACATATATCTACCCAAAAATACGAGTTGAAAAATAACTAACACAGCTTGGCCTGATAGGGGGACAGCTAGGGGGATGCATCTACAGGCACAGTCTAATTTAGCGACCTGTCAACTCCACACACGTTCACTTAAAACACATACACACCCATGCTTTCAATTTTCTTAATTTATAACAACGTGCAATCTCCATGGAGATGTATTGTAAAAATTATGTTTCTGTATTACAGGTATTTAGTTTACATTAAGCTGTTTTATATGTATTGTATTTGACTCAAATTTAATTAAATTTACAATACAGGTATTGTTTAGTGAAGGAGCAGGTAAATTAGTTAGGCTTTGAAAAGTGTTATCCGTGGCCATGGAACTTAACACCCTTATTTTCCATAAGCCTTTAGTCTTGCCAACCATGGATTTGCCAACCACAGAGTTTTTCAGGAACTTAACCCCACAGTTGGCGAGGGAATACTGTAATGTACTCTCGCTGAAAGTCATCATTTAGGGTTAGAACCTTTTCAGGAATCACCACCCCCCCCCCCAAGCTAATATATGAGCAAAATATCTTTTAAGTCATCAATCCACATTAAGGGCACCTCATAATGTTACACTTCCAGCACATTTCCAAAACACTGGCAGCTAGTATTTATTCGTGCCTTTGAGTGCATGGGAATTCTTGGTTTGGTAAAGGAACATCAACTTTACCATAAAATCTCCCAATATATTTGCACACGGGTGCAAATACATTGAAACCTAGAGTAGTTGTTGAAGCCTTTGAAAAAAAAGTTCTTTTTGGCATTTGGTTCCAAAATAGCCAGTCTCATCAGCATTGAAAACTTATCAGGTTTGTAGCCCCTTTCTTCAATAAGTTTGGCCATCTTAGGAGGAAAATGTTCAGCTGCTTTGTGATATGCAGCTAAAGCTTTACCTACCAACTTCACATTAGGCAGTCTAGATACTGCATAATTCTTTAAGTTTTCAAATCACCCTATGCTGGCCATAAAACTAGGTTCTTTTTTATTCACTATATTCCCCATTAAGTTGATGCAGCTTCATGTTTTAAGTGTTCCTGCAAGTGCTTGCCTTATTCTTAAATTACTGGTCCATTCAGTGGAACACTTTTCTGCATTTGGAACTCAATACAGAAGAAGTTCAGGGCCTTCATATTTTTGAATAGTAGGGTCATGACTAAAATGACACTTTATTGCCTAGTGGTGCACTTGCAGGAACACATCCTCTTAAGTTTTGCTGCATCTATTTTCACTGTACATACAGTCGACTCATTTAGGCTGTAAGCTCTAGCTACAGATACTGAACCCTTACCCGTAGCAAGTCTGTCCAACATCTATACTTTTTGTACCACAGATAATGTATTTTTTTTTGCATTTTCCCACTTTTTTTTAACAGATTTTGGGCTCCTTTCACTTGCTTTCGTCTATGAACTTAGGGGAAACACTTAACCCTTGAGGGCCTCATATCTGATATGCATGGGGAAGGCAATAAATAAGAATATGTCTTAAAAATATGAAAACTTTTTGTTAGAAATTGTTTAAAAGAGTTATAATATGTGATTATTTACCATGTGAAGGTGACGTGGATGGGGTTTAAAGTCAGTGTCTCCTTGGGTATAGGCATTGAACCAATAGTGAGGGGAAGATAACCTCTAGGGTGAGTGTGCCTCCCCGTTAATATGTGTGATCTATTTGGGGACTATTTGTGTCTGTTTTTGGAATGCCTTTTTGGATGCCTTTACAGTATTTGTTTTTATAGCTTTGGATATGGTTATCTTATTTACCAAACATATCTTGGATGCTGTCCAGAATATGTTTTGAGGTTTACTTGAGAATTTCTTATGTGGCAGAGGAGAAAATGCATCAAGCATTTGAGCGAATAGCTTTTAAAATTTTAGTGCTAGAGGTTACTCAGTAAATTTAGTCAAACAACTTAATATGCAGTGAGTATGGGAGGTGGGATGGGGGGTGAGAGGTATGGCATGGTATCAGTGATGAGGCAACACATTTGGGTCACAGGTTTCGTATGAGCTGCTCTACTGTAAGTTGTCTGAAGACTAATTTTAATATTTTCTGTATTTAGAGTTGGAAATGCCTAAGATTTTTTATAATTTCTTTACTTCCTACAGGAGAAAGCAACAAAGTGGCAGAACAATGGAGAAATAGATGGCTTAACAACAAATGGAGTATTAATCATGCATCCTCCTAGTCAGTTTTGTGGAGGAGAAGCTAAACCTGGTATATGGCGAGAGGTATCAGTAGGGGGTGGTGTCTATGCATTAAGGGAGTCACGGTCTGCACCACAAAAAGGAATTAAGGTAGGTGAAAGTTGATTTTTTATTTTATCTATTGTGATAAGGCATTAATCATAGCAAGGAGGAAAAGGGAGAGTAATGCACAGTAAATATCATTGATACAGTAGTCCTTCTATATAACAATAAAGTATGCAGGCCTCAAAAGAGAGAAATCTGATATATCAAATATTAGGTATATCTCTGGCAATGAAATGGATATAATCCATTTCGTTCTCAGAAATTTTGTTGTTAGATTTAAATGGGAATAGGTTCCTTTCTTTCATTGGTGGAGGAATTTATTATGTTATGAGAATAATAGAATTTGTAGAATGTGGCCACTTAAATTCTCCAATTATTACGTAGATATGTAGATCTTTTTATACCCGTATATATATATATGTATTGTACTTATAAATGAAAAGTCCCACCTATACAGTACCCTGTATTTTATAAAGTATGAACTAAAGGTATAACAGAATCAAACTTGAAGACATTCCCATATGATTAAAAGAACATTTATACACGAAAATTCACTTCATTCTTGGAAACCAGTTGTCAGAAGTAGCAGGGGCAGATCAAGGAATATCAAAAGTTGTGGGTGGGGGAACATGGCGATCACAGCAAGCCCACCCAGCTGGGGGTTTTGTTGGGGTGTTTTGAAATCTCACCAATATCATGGGTATTTTTAGGCCATTTTGAGGCCATGTGCACTTGATATTAGGAGATGTTCCGAGGTCAATAGTAATTACTTTTTATTATTAAAAAATGCCTGAATACAATACAGTCGTGTCGCATCTTACGCAGGGGTTACACATATAGTTAAAATTACCCTTGAATATCCCTTATATCACCTATAAAGTACAGTCGCCTTCAGGTGTAATATTACCCCCTACCAAACCTTCCTTGCTCAAGTGGCTACGTCGCACTCTCGTGTGGCAGGGAACTGGGTGATAGGGTTTTTCTTATTACAGTAATATCTCCGTTAGCCAGAATCCCTCAAACCCGAAACTCTTTGATAGCTGTAATTTAAATTTTCCCGGAAAATCATTCCCAAAGTCGGAATTTTCCGGAAAATTCTGGCTTTGGGAAAGATTTTCTGGAAAATTCGGAGAAAATTCTCCTGATTCCCAGAAAATTCAAGGGATGGGGGATATTTTTCCGGGTTCAAGAGATGATGTAATGGGCAACTTCTGGAACTTGCGAGAACATTTTTCCGTTACTCGGAAAATTCCGGGGATGAAGGATTTTTTTCCGGCTTTGAGAGAGTCGTCTCGTTACCGGAAATCTCTCATTCCCAGAAGTGCTTTGCACCAATTGTTCCGGCTAATGGAGATATCACTGTACAGTACTTGTTTTTGCCAGCATTTGTTTATCAATAATCTAAAGAACAACCATCAGTGCAGATAATACATATTTTGGATTGTGTGATACAATATATAATGCCACTTACAAAAACGAAGCCTTTGAAGAAAGACACAACGAAAGGAAAGGAGGAGGTGGCGAGGGTGGCAGAAGTAGGGGGAGAGGTAAGGGAAAGACGACGAAAAATGAAAAGGCGGTAGGAAGTGTGAAAATGAGAGAGAAATGAGTAAACAGAAGGTGGTACGTAATGTTTTTTGAAAAGGATCTGGGTAACTTTCATTCAATCGGATAAGGACAAATAAATACCAGCATCGATAAAGATGCACCTACTGTATCACTTAACATGTTAAAGAAAAGCAGTATAATTTGCTTAGCTATGTTCTCTCTTGGTAATAAGCTCATCCCTCTATTCATTTTGTGAGTATGTAAGGTAAACATATGGTATAGCAACATACCATTGATATTATTGTATGATAGTTTTTTTTAGTTTATGATAATTAATATTCCATGAGGTTTGGTTATTTCTATAAATATCAAACTATTTATGTTTTGTATAAGCCACATTTTTTTGGGATTGTGGTTATTATTTGTTGCAAAAGTGTTGTAATGATTTGCTTTAATATCAGTCTTGTAACTTGTATTGTTATCTAATATCTTCTCAAGTTTATTAAATTTAACCATTTCATATAT